CTCAAGTATCACTTTGAGGTACTTTATACAACACTGTGACTGACAGGTGTTTCTTGTTGCCTTTAAGGTTGATTGTTGAAACATTAAATAATTCTGCATGAACAGTCTACTGTTTGGCCTGAGTTTAAACCTGTAAAATAGGCTTTTCTTGTTAAAGATGATAAACCAACATGAAGACCAGAGAGCTGTCTRTGGGAGAAAAGCTGAGAAAAGAAGGAAAATCAATCAGAGCCATTGGACAAACATTGGACTTATCGAGCACAACAATTTGAAATGTCCTGAATAAGAAACTACAGGTGAACTGAGCAGCAGACATCCAACAGGTCGGCCAAGGAAAACTACAGTAGTTGATGACAGGAATATTGTGAGAGCTGTGAAGAAAAACCCAAAACCTCAGTAAGTGACATCACCAAAAACCTCCACAGTTCAGGGGTGAAGGGATCTCAGTCCACTGTTTGATTACTCAGAGAGCAGAAATATAGACATACACAGAGATACAAACCACTCATCAGTAAGAAGAGTCAGAAGGACAGATTGAAATTTCTAAATAAGTACAGAGATGAGCTGCAAAATTTCTAGTAGACAATCTTATGGACTGATGAGACCAAGATTAATCGTTATCAAAGTGATGGAAAGACCAAAGTGTGAAAGTGTGGAAAAAGAAAGAACTGATGATGATCTGAAGCTCCTCTGTGAAGCACGGTGAAGGTGATGTCATGGCTGCTTCTGGAACAGGATCATTAATATTTAATGATGATAGAACTGATGATGGCAGCAGCTGAATGAGTTCTGAAGTGTACAGAAACATTTTGTCTGCCAGTTTACAGAGTAACCTATCTAAATCTATCTATTCATCCATCCATCATTTATTCATCAGGAGGAATGTTGCAGCAGGACAATGACCCAAAACACAAGGGCTATAAATGTTATTTACTTTAAGATTATTTGTTCCAATACTTTTGCTCACCTAAAAATGATGTGGTGTAATCAAACTTTGAAGTATCCTAAACTGTTGAACACATCTACATGTAAATACCAGGAAATAAAAGCTGGCATTCTGAAATCTTGTCTCATCTTTTGTTCTTAAACCCAAATGTCCTCAGTGAACAACAAAAACAAGASAATTTGACTTGTTCCAATACTTTTGGACGGGACTGTAGGTACTGGGGAGCATATGTACTAAAGAACACAGGTACAGAAGAACATATGTACTAAAGAACACAGGTACTAAAGAACATAGATACTAAAGAACATAGGTACTAAAGAACATAGATACTAAAGAACATAGGTACTAAAGAACATAGATACTAAAGAACATAGGTACTNAGGTACTAAAGAACATAGATACTAAAGAACATAGGTACTAAAGAACATAGATACTAAAGAACATAGGTACTAAAGAACATAGATACTAAAGAACATAGGTACTGGGGAATATGGGGATTACTCCAGTGGGGCATTAAGTCGTAAAAATATAAAGAGATGAATACAAGAACAAATCAACTTCCTTTCATTTTTAAAAAGTACATTGTTTTCTTAGAGAAACTGAAAAAAAACTTCATTTTCACAACATGCAACAAATATAAATTACAGATGCAAAGACATGCTACTGGTTAAATAAATAACAAACTGAAATGATGGAAACGGTGGCACGTTCTCCTGTATAACACATTGTTGTAAAAGAAAAAAATACTGTGTTGTGTTTTAGAAATGAGGGGTTACTTTGATGTCAAGCCACACCAACTAGACACACTGAACAAGACAGAGAATGCAGCTAAACRTTTGGCGCAGTTGTTATTTACATCAAGTAAGTATAATTTTTAATTCTATTCTGTGAACTGGACTTTGTGGTGTCCTGTCCTTTACAGGAGTACAAATTTATTCCAGGTTTGTGATCCTGACATGAACGAACAACGACGAAGGAGAAATACTGGTCCCATCTTTAGATAAAAGGTGGATGTGACGATAACCTAAAAGAAAAACGGACCATTAATGAGCAAGAAAGAGGTTTCACTTGTTTTTATAAGAGATATAAAACCTCTATAGATATAAAAAGTCTAYGTTTGTAATCTACTTGTCAAACACAACACTAGCTGCGTTTCCATTGACCATGAAAATGCGCAAATTAGAATTTTGAAAATAAATTTGCTCAATGGAAACATGTCAATTTCGAAAAAAAAACTTATGTTTTCGATAAAATGTTTTTGCACTAGGATGAGGTGGTTTTTCGGTCGTATCAAAATTGGTGTATTTCTCAAAACTGCAATGGAAACACTTTTTGCATCACGGGAGTCACGTGATCAAGAACCGGCTGTTTCTACTGGTGAAAAAGACGAAGAAGAAGACAACAGGAAGTAGAAGTAATAGCAAAATCACCAAAGTAGTAAAAGAAAGTAGTAAACTCACCGACTACAATTTCCCCCAGAATAAGGGGCTTGTCACTCAAAAGCCTCGATAAGACAACGTCTCCTCTGATGGCTGATGATGAGAGCTAGTGTCGTGGTAGCAATATGCTTGATTGTTTACATCCATTGCCGCCATGTTTGTAATGATCGCGAGAACAAACGTACTCATGCGTGACTTTAATAGCATCTCTTACTTAATGGAAACACTGCAGTTGCGAAACTGTATTTTTTCAACATCAACAGAATATCGACAAAGTTTTACGCACATTTGAAATGGAAACGCAGCTAATATTACGTAGAAAAATTTGTCTGGCCCAGATACCACAAAGAACGACAGGCCTTTAGTGGCCCAGATGTGGTATGTGAGAGGTGAGTCTTGAGTGAGCTCTCATTTCTGGCATCAAGCCTTGGACCTGTGCTGGACATGACTTACTGCAGGGACAGTGGGGAGTCCTACCTACAGTAAAGCTCTTAGCTTTGCTGTTTGCCAACAGCTGAAACAAAATTGTCTGCCCTGTTAAAAGTCAACTCGCCATTGTCAGTTTTTATTTCTTTCCATTTTTCGTAAAAAAAAAGTGTAACTTCTTCTTCTGGTAATGGCAGAAAGTGCAGCTGCTCCCAACTGTTCAGTATAACAAACCCTCYACAGTGGCTGGTGYGTTGTTCAGGTTTACACKCCACTTCAWAYTTTTACCTGCACTTGGCCAGTGGCGGGTGCTAACTGCCAACCCTGATGACACTTTTGCTTGGTACACTTAGGTACCCATGAGGGCCGTCTTGGGTGAATGGAACCTTGATGACACTTATGGGCCCTTGTTCCCAACATCAAGGATCTAATGTGTCTAAAATGCTTCGTCTGTGTTTGGTAATCTTTGTTTAAATTTTCCAGTAATTCTTGGATACTCAGMAACTATATCCAATAACACTACTGGTTCCACCACTTAGGTTTTATCTGCTAACTTCTTAYAAATCATTCAGTACCAATCACTGGACTGCATGTGAACCAAACTATGTCCAAATCAGATAATTACTTCTGAGTGCCTTATTTCTGTTTTTAGTGAGTTTACCATTTCATAATTAAGATGTTACACAGATAGAGTGAAAAAGTTRTAATATGAGTCATGTCTCAGCCATACCTTGCTGCATACAGCTGAGAGGGAGTGTGTACTGCCCCACAAAGTCATTCTTTGATGTCTTGTCATAATCTTCCACTACAAAGCGCACAATCGCCAGTTCAGGGGTGTGAATTGTGAAGCGCAGTGTGTCATACCAGACAGGGTTAAAGCCTGTAAAAAATACATAAATATGATTGAGTATGGAACAAATCATTGGCTTATACAGTATTTTACAACTTAGCAGAGTATTTTCTACTCTGGGTTTCCTTAGAAACATACCAAAGAGSGTTAGGTCGACAAAACAAATAACCTTTTTTTAAGTTCTGACTTTATTCTTAGAATTCTGACATAAATATCAGAACTGGGCAAATGTCAGAAATCTGCCTTTGAGAGAAAGAAGTCTGACTTATGAGAAAAAATTAGGCCTGCCTGCCCTCATGGGTCTCCCCTGGTTTCTGCTCCATATACAGGTAAGCTCTGTTTTATTTGACACCTCTTTTATGTGTGAGTCTAAAACTCCTGCTGCACCCGGGTGCTGTCGGATATTTAACTCTTCCACTGCTGCTCTCTTCTCTGTTTTTACGAATATTTCTGCTAYGGATCTGGGTGTTCTACTACTCATGGCCTGCTCTCTCAGTATGAGGGGTTTTGCATTAAGACTCTTGACTTAGTTAACCCTTTAAAAACCAGGGGTCCTAAACTCCCGCCCCAGCCGTGGTTAAATGAGACCACCCGAGCGGCCAGACGTCAGTGTAGAAAAGCGGAGCATAAATGGAAGAAAGACAAATTACAGGTCTCTTTTATCAACTTGAAAATGTCTTGGAAATTTTATCAGGCCGTAGTTAAATCTGAGAAAAACAAAGATTTCTCCCAAATTATTGCCTCCATTTGTCATAATCCCCGTGTTCTTTTTGAGACAGTTGTATTTTAAACGTGCCTCAGTCTGCTAGCCTGGAGGGCTCTGTAGACATCTGTAATAAGTTTAGCAGGTATTTCATTGAAAAGGTTGAGTGAAGCAGGGCATCGATTCCACACTCGACAGTTGATCCCTCCATCTTTGTCCMTTGCTCTGCTGTCTTCAGTCAGTTTGAGACTGTTTCTATACACTTTTAAGGGCTATTGTTGATCATATGAGACCCTCGGGTTCCCCTGCTGATCTTTCCTACATTGTTTTTTAAAGAAATTTGTCCGTCTGTTGGCCCTTTCGTTTTTGCCATTATAAATAGCAGTATTGCTACCAGTGAAGTTCCAGATGTTTTTAACATGCAGTAGTGAAAACATTAATAAAAAAAAACTGGACTTGACCCCGCAGTTTGTGCAAATTTTAGATCAATCTCAAAACTTCCATTTATTTCTAAAATTTTGGAGAAAATTGTTTTTATTCAGTTGAGCACCTTTTTAAATGGGAAAGGAATTTTTGAAACCTTTCAGTCTGGTTTTAAACACACAGCACTGAAACGGCTCTGGTGAGGGTTTACAATCATTTTCTTCTGGTAAATGACTCTGGTCAACCTGTGGTCCTGGTCCTTCTGGACCTGACTGCAGCTTTTGATACTGTTGACCACAGTATCCTGTTGTCACGTTTAGAACACTGGGYTGGGACCACAGGAGCAGCACTAGATTGGTTTTGTAAATTTTTTTTTTCAGCTAAGACAGATAGCCAAGCTCAAGCCAATACTGACTAGACCTGACCTTGAGAGAATAATGCTTTTATTACTAGTCGATTAGATTACTGCAATGCACTTTATGTTGGGATCAGTCAGGTCACTTTCATGTCTCCAGGTTGTTCAGAATGCTGCAGCTCGACTTATAACAGGAACTCGTAGGTTTGAGTATGTRTCACCAGTCTTATCCTCCCTCCACTGGCTCCCAGTGCACAATAGAATAGATTTTAAAATTMTCCTGCTCACTTACCGTATTTTTCGGACTATAAGCCCCGACTTTTTTCCTGAACTTTGAATCATGCTGCTTATAGTCCGGTGCGGCTTATATGTGGATTTTTTCTTCAGCCACCAGGGGGCTCTTATGCTGCATTTGCTTCAACCACTCGCTTCAAAAAAAGAAAGGAAAAAAAAAGAAAGCGATCGCTTCCAGAGCCGACTGTTGTACCAGGAAGCAGCAATTTAGAGATAGTCAATGGCCAAAAACTCATAAAAGGGGATAAAACAGACATTTTTCACAGTGGAATCTGACTGATAAAAWCTTTGGAGCTTAATCCAGGACCAGTTTGTGGATAAACGTCGAGTGAAGAGCCGCTGACTTTTTTTTCCGCATTGCACTCCCTGGGGAAGGAATCCCATGCAGTGACGTATGCTGGAGCGGGAGGGCTTTCCCAGCAGCTCGGCTCTGGGTTTCTCGGGGGAACTATGAAAGGTTAGTGCAAAAACGAACGCCGAACAATCACGTGACGGCGCATCGACCGGTTGTCAGCCGGGCGACCATACTGCCAGCTTAGCCGGAGGTGTAGCACCATTTTGTTTTAGCTGGTAGCAGACACGACACGACGGATCTTCAGCAGACACGATATTGGACAGTATGCGGGCCCACATCACAGATTCGGTGAAAGCAGCCATCAAGAAAACAAACTCACTTCCTGCTGTTATTCCTGGAGGTACAACAAAGTTTTTGCAACCCCTGGACATCAGTGTGAAACATGCATTTAAAGCAGCACTCAGGGCTGAATGGGAGGCTTGGATGACTGACAGGGATAAATCATTTACAAAAACTGGCCGAATGCGAAGAGCGTCATTTCCTTATGTCTGCCAGTGGATCCTAACAGCGTGGAGCAGAGTGAATGAGTCCACCATCACCAATGGGTTCTGAAAGGCTGGACTGCTACGTGAAGAGGACACCACAGCTTCAGAGCCAGCATTACCCCGGGAGGACAACGACACAGAAAGCAACACTGAACAGATACTACCAAAACTACCAAAATAAGGTCAGTTAAATGAACCGTATTCCTCCGAACTTTAATTCCTAAAGTTTTGCTTTTTTATATTTTGATATTGAATTCAATTTTTTGATGACAATTTTGGGTGTACTGTTTTTTTATGTTGGGGGTGCGGCTTATAGTCCGGTGCGGCTTATAGTCCGAAAAATACGGTAC